CTTTCATGTTTATTAAATACAGGATTATACCTTCAGCAGACAACACCAAGCCAGGAGGGACTTGGTAGTCATCCAAGTCCCCTAGGTCCCAACCGCACACGAGTGCTTAATAAATGCTTGCTGTCTCCCCTCGGAGTTAGCCATCCAGCTGTCCTCAAACACAGACAGGGAGGAATCTATTTATGGGGGGGGTGCATTACCGAGGATCTAACTCAAGGGCTCCCTACCATGGAAGGTAGACCCCTACACTTTTTAAAGACAGGGTCTTACCAAGTTGCCCAGGTTGGCCTGGAACTCCCAATACTCCTGCCTCAGCCTCCCGAGTAGCTGGGATTATGAGCTTGCACCTCCATGCTCAGCTCAACTCAAGGAGAAACCTTATACCCTCTGGGTCGCCCACAGGACCAACCAGGCCCCCGACTGGAAGGTGTGGCATTCACCGGCGCATGCTGTTGAGAAGCAGCGGACACTCACCTCGCGCAGACAGGACTCCCGCTGCCTGCCCAGGTCCCGGGCCTGCTCCTGCAGCCTCTGCACCTCCTGGGCATGGACAGCAGCGGCCTCCTCAAGCTGGGCCCGAAGGTCCCGAAGTTCAGACGTGAGGGCATTCACGGTGCTCTGGGACAGATGGGCTCCTCAGAGAGGCCGTGGGGTACCGGTCCCTCTGCCCTCTTGCTGCTCCTAACTCACAAGCTGAATTGCCCACTTTCTGCTCCAGGCACAGCCCCTCCCGCTGGCTGGCCAGGCCCCTGCTCATCCCTCAGTGCCCAAGAGTGCCGTCCATGCCGCTGGTCTCTCCCCAGACTCAGGGGCTCCCCAGGGCAGAGCTGTGCCACCTCCCAAGGGAACGTAAGCTCCCTGCTCAGTTGCCCGGCTTGCCCTACCCGGTCCTGCTCCTGCCGGCTCTGGGCATCTCGCCTCTGCCGCTCCATTTCCAGAGAGATGGCGGCCAGGCTGTGCTGTGTCCCCATCAGCTTCTCTGACAGCGCCGTCTTCTCCGACTCCTTCAGGGACAGGGCCTGGGCCGTGGCAGGGAACACAGAGCTGGGGGTTGGCCAGTGCAAGCGGCGCAGTCAGGCTCCTCCCCACCCTGTGCTGGCGCTCAGTGATCTGAGGTGGCAGTGGTCAGGGGCAGGGGCGCAGGCTCAGCCCCCACAGCTGCAGCAGGTCAACAGCAGCCACAGGGACCCTGGACAGGCGGATCTCACAACGTCCCTGGGCAAAGTCTTTCCTTATTCCCATCTTACACAGAGGACACTAAGGCTCAAAGAGGGAAAGTGACTTCCCCGGGGAGATACCACGGGGGGGGGGGGGGGGAGGAGATGGGTATGCTCTGTCCTGTCCCCACACGTGACAGGAAAGGCAGGAATCCGTTCTCTGGGGTAGAGGGTGATAGGTGCTGTGCATAGATATCCCGAGGACTGCCCAGAGGGTGGTCGTGAGCAAGCCATGGATGGCCTGGGACGGGCTGGGGGCAGCAGACCGTGGAACACCTTTCTCGGTGCTATGACTGTGGCCAGGCATGGAGTTCACAACGCATCACACCCCCCTCCTGCAGGTAGGGAAACTGAGGCCTGGGCGGGCCCTCCCCAAGGGCCCCTAGCTGCTGGGTGGTTAAGTGGGGGTCACCCTGGGGAATCACGAGGCCACCCCAGGGCTTGCACACCTGCTGCTTCTCACTCTCGGCCAGGAGCAGGCCCTCGTCACGCTCCTGCTGCAGGGCGGCGATCTCCTCGCTCAGCTCCTCCTTCTCAGCCTCCAGCCGGGCCAGCAGCTCCTCCCGCTCCCGCTGTAGCTGGCCCTGCAGCTGGGCCCGCTCTGCCTGAAGCTCTCGCCAGGCCGCCTCCTGGGGACCAGACCCGAGCAGGTGTGACACACGGGTGGGGGGGGCCACACAGCCCCTAACATAACTCTGGGGAGTACGGTGATCTGTACCCCCCAGTGTGAGGTAGGGCAGTGATCAGGTCACGCTACAAGGTGGGGTGGTGATTACTGTGACCAGGACAGACCAGGGCTGTGAAACCCCCAAAGGTGGCAGTCGGATATCCCCGGAGGATGGTCAAATAGCAGTCAGCCAAGGAGAGCAGAGGCCCCAGGCCCAGAGCAGAGCCAGACAGCACCAACAGCAACAAGAGTAAGGGGGTGGTCTGGCTCCCTGAGGATGGGGTAGGTGGGGGGGCAGAGCATACAGATGAAGGACAGCCCGTGTGAGGTGCCAAGAGCAGGTGCCCGGCTCCAGTACTGGCACCCACAATTTTCTCAAAGGCAGCAGTGTCCGGGTGTGGTGGTGCACACCTGTAATCCCAGCGCTCGGGAGGCTGAGGCAGGATGGTTGTGAGTTCGAGACCAGCCCGGGCTACAAAGTGAGCTCAAGGCCATCCTGAACTGCATAGCCAGACCCAAAAGGACAAAGAAAAAGGGCAGTAGCAGCGCGCCTTCTTGAGCCGTTGTGCTGCCACCTGCTGGAGAGGTGTGATAATCCCCACTCATACCCACAGAAGCACAGGGTAAAGGACGCCCCTGGAGGTCAGGAGCAGCCTGTGAGTGCTGGGTGGCTCTGTGGCCCTGCCCTGACGGCCACTCTGGAGAGTGTCCCAGTCTTGGTAACAATAATTTATGAAGCACTGACTACTAAGTGTCGGTTGCTATGCTAATCCACGTATATGGCATATCTCACATCAACCTCAATACCTGATCCCTTGCCCGTGTCTACAGATGGGGAAATGACAACAAGGAGACCTTCCGTAGCATCAGTGTCGCCAGTGTGGGACCAAGATCAGATTTAAACCCAAAAAATGTAAGTCCACAGCAAGTGTTCTAGCAACCTCACCCCGGCCCGCTGCATTTCTACGTGCCGAGGCTTCAGAGCGATCGTAATGTACAAACAGCGCATCTTCGCGAATGCAAGTGCTCTTCTACCACACGCGTGCTGACCTTTCTCAGAGGTGACTGTGGATCCCCTACAACGGGACCACTAGGGTTGAATCTCCTTCGGGTTCTGGGAATCTGCATTTTGTTTTGCTTTTGTTTTTGCAATAACAGGGTTGAAGCCAGGACCTTCATGCTGAGCTACATCCTCAGACATTTGTTTGTTTATTTATTTATTTATTTATTTATTTATTTATTTATCTTTTTGAGACAGGGTCTCAATATGCAGTTCAGGCTGGCCTTGAGCTCACTTTGTAACCTAGGCTGGTCTCGAACTCACAACGATCCTCCTGCCTCAGCCTCCTGAGTGCTGGGATTACAGGTGTGTGCCACCATGCCCAGCATTTATTTTAAAACAGGGTCTTGCTAAGTCACTAAGTTGCCCAGGTGGGGCTCAAACTTTGTGATCCTCCTGTCTCAGCCTCCCAGAGTGCTGGGATTACAGATGTACACCATCATGCCAGGCAAATCTGTAGATTTGGTAAGGATGCTCCTGTCACATGAGTCCTCCCTGCTGCCCCAATGCGTGCACAGCAGAAATGGGAGGATGATTCCTCTGAAATCACAGAAGAAACAGCGGCTCAGACTCCGCACTGTCCCTACTCCTGTGCAAACCTTCTCTCGCTGGAGTCGCTGTAAGTCCTCCTCATGGGCTGCCCGCTGCTCCCGTAGAGAGGCCTGGGCTTCTCGCTCAGCCTGTGCCAGCTTCTGGGCCATGAGCTCCTTGTCCAGAGCTGCCTTCTCTTCTGTGTTTGTCATCTGCTGCCGCAGGCCTGCCAGCTCCCCTGCACAGAGGGCCGGGGAAGGCAGGGCTGGGTCAGAACCTCTCCAGAGCCAGCAGGCTCGGGCCAGGTGGGCCATGTGAGCACCCAGGAGAGGAGAGAGGAATTGCCTAGCATCTGCGCTGGGTTGCTTTGGAGAAGTGGTTCACCCTCTCTGGGTCCTTGTTTTCTCATCTGCTGCATGGCCCAATGGCTCTGTCAGTGCAAGGGGCAGCCCACCATGGACCAGTTACACACCATTCCCTGGGTGGGAAGCCAGCATGTCCCTTCCTGGCTTTGGCTGGCTCAGGTGGACGAGGACAGGAAAATGAATTTCCGTAACCCAAGTCAGTGCTCAAGGAACCTTTGGTGAGTGGGAAGAACCTTTGGTAGCTGGGAAACACACGGAGACATTGGGCAGAGCCTGTGGGGCCAGAGAGCAGTGGGAAATGCAGCTGAAGGCTCCGCAGGGACCCGGAGCTTTCCCACTGTCCCCACGCCACTGCTGAGCAGGCCAGGCCCCGTGCCTAGGCCTTCGCCTGCTCCTCTGACCTCAGCTTGGCAAGAGACCTAGCAGGTGGCATTCCCACCCCTAACGTCACATGAGGACTCTACAGCCCGGAGGGAAGGAACTTGCTCCAGCGCGACTCAGGACCAGAACCTAGGTCAGTCACACTCCCAGGCCAACGGCCCAAACCTGTGTGAGACCCCAGACCTCACAGGCCGCAGTTTGGCAGAAGGCTGGTGCCCCCCCGGCCCCCACCCCACGTACCAGCCAGGGTCTCTTTGGCCACCAGCAGGGCCTGTCCATCGGCTTCCAGCTGCTCGCGGCGGGCGTCGAGCTGGGCCAGCTGCCTTTGCGCCTCGAACAGGCCGCTCTCCAGGGCTTCCTTCTCCAAGCTGTGGCACGCACAGTCCCTGAGGCCCTGGGACTCAGCCTCCCCAGCCCCAGGGAACTGTGATTGTCGGCATGGCCAGCCAAGGGCCTGCTGCCAGGCTACCTGCCAGCTGAGGGCCTGGTGCCAGGCTCCATGGGTAAGGCTGAGCCCTAGCAGACTCTGTTGGCAAGCCGGGCTCCTAGGTAACTGCCCCTGTGAGCCAATGCCAGGGCAGGGCTGGCTGTGATGTAGCGCCCCACCCCACCCCAGCACCCTCCCACCTGCAGAAGGGCCGGGGGAACCTGAAGGCTTACCGCAGACGCGTGGCCTCCTCGGCCAGGGTCCGGCCTTCACGCTCCGCCGCCGCCAGCTGCACAACCAGGCTGGCCCGCTCCTTGGCCACCGCCTCCTTCTCCCGGGCTGCTCGCTCCAGAGCCTCCACCTGCCGCTGCGACTCCCGCTGGGCCTGCTCCAGCTCCTGCTCCCTCCCGCTCAGCTGCCGAGAGAGCTGTCCCCACCCAGGCCTGTGAGCACCACTCCCAGACCCCGGGGCCTGCGCATCACACAGCACTCCAACTCAGGGTTCCCCGGCCCTGGCCAGGAGGGCGGGAGGGCCAGGTCGTGCCCATCCTCTGCCCTGCCATGCTATGTATCTGTACCAGGTCCAATCATAGCCTTTCAGACCCACAGTGCACGTGCATACAAAAGCAAGGCCCCTCACTCGGCTTTGGGACTAACAGAAGCCTTTTCCGCCCTGAAACTCGCAGAGAAGCTGAATACACAAGACAGACCGGGGGAGCTGTCCTGCAGGCCATAGAGTAGACACGGTGGCTGCTTCCTGAACCCCACACCCCAACCTCCAGTCCCCGTCCAGGACCAGCACTCTATAAAAGTTCTTGGGATTCCTGAAGCCCTTCGGCCCCTTCCAGCTGTGATGTTGCAAGTCCGATTCCAATTCTAAAACTCTGCACCTGTTATCATACCGCTGATCTGTGTGGAGAGGCGACTTGGACAGAGAATCCTATTCATTAGATTAGCACTATGTGACAAGAAGTCTCGGCCCCAAGTTACAGAGGGGGTGACTGAGGCACGGGGAGGCGGGGTGGCATGTTCAAGGTCCTTAGCTACCAGAGGTGGGGCTGGATCTAAACCCAGAAGCAGGCTCCTGGGCCCCTCCCCACTCACTCTTGCCCCCTACTTCTGCACGGGGCTCACCCCACCTGGGCCAGCTGCTCCTGCAGCCGGCTGCGTTCACCACACAGCTTGTGGAGCTGCTGCTCCAGCGCGTCCCGGGCCTGTTCAGCGGAGTGCAGGGAGCCCTCCAGGCCCTGCCGCTCCACCTCCTGCTCCAGCCGCAGCTGCTCCAGGCGCCGCTGCTCCTCCAGAGCTGAGGTGGCTTCGTGCTCTGCCTGCCGCTGCCTCCCCAGCAAGGCTGCCTTCTCCTCCTCCAGCTGCAGGACACAGGTGAGCAAGGAGGGTGAACAAAGGTCCCCCTCGGACTAGGGATGCCTCCCCAATCTTCCCACTGACCAAACCAGCCAGGTGTGTGAACCTGGGGAGGGGAAAAATAGAGGAGGCCATGGAGCTTCCTTCTCCGATACACTAGAAGCCAGACAGCCAGACAGACACAGCCAGAGCCAGAGCTAGAAGAGAGGGAGGCCCATGACAGTCAAACAGGTGGTGGGTTCCAGGAGGTCTCAGTGAAGGCCCCTGGCGGAGCGGACAAGCGGGGGACAGGCGGGCTTGCTGTGCGCAACACACCCGGGCGACGAGATGATTCAGCCCCAGCTTGTCCTGGGCGAGGCTCTCGTTGAGCGCGCTCAGCTTGGACAAGGCGTCCCGCAGAGAGGCCTCCTCTGCCCTCAGCTTGGTCATGGACAGCTCGAGCTCCACGCGGCCGGCCTCTGCCTGCAGACAGCGAGAGGTGGGGTGGGCGAGAAGAGGCAAATAGAGACCCCCAGTGACGGACCTGAGAGGTGGGAGGGAGGTGGGCAGAATCTCGGCACCGGGAGAGCTACAGCTCGTGAGGCCACCGAGGGGAAGCACTGGCCGCAGGGCTGTGCAGGGGAAGGAAGCCCAGCGCAGGCTGCAGGCCAGGGCCAGGCCCAAGGATCCCCCACGTGAGGTCTACGTGTGGCACTGCCATGTCCAGGCCCAGGCACCAGGGAGTGGGAGAGGGACCCAGTGGGGACTCTCTGACAGCAGTCCCAACGCCCACGGAGCCAGGACCTGGCAAAGTCAACCTGCTTGCTGCTACAATCAGAGGTCAGCCTGTGTCCAGAGGGCGGGGTCAGTCTGTGACTGAGCTCTGATGTCAGCCTAAAGGAAGGATCTGTCTGTGTCAGAGACGGACTGTGTAGGGCCTAGGGTCAGGCACAGGTCTGTGATTGTGTGGCAAACAGGGGACCCACCTTGGTCAGTGCCTCAGCCACCTCGGCCTTCTCGGCCTGTAGCACATCCCGCTGTAGGGAGGCATGGCTCAGTGCCTCCCGCACCTCTACTAGCTCCTTCGCCAGCCCTGAGCGCTTCACTTCCAGCTGCTCCAGCTGTCTGTGGCTGTGGGACAGATGACAAGTGGGTGCCTTGTGTTACACCCCTGCCCTGAGCAACCAGCAGGAGGTTGGGTTGCGGGCAGGCCTGGGAGCAAGAGCTACAATCACGGGGATAACCACGGCCTCTTAGCTCAGGGACTCTGGGCATCAGTTTTCATATCTGCAAAATGGGTGACACCTGCGCTGTGAAGTGGCTAAAGGACATGTGCTCTTAATATATAGGAAGAATATAACGTAGCACCTGACTCATCCTCCCAGGGGTCTTCAGACACAAGAATAATATCTACTACCGCAACGTACTAGCCATCATCATCTCTTGGGTCTCAGAGATGTTAACTGCAAAGGTTCAAATCCTAGCTCTTTATGACCTCTCTCCCTCAGTTTCACCCTCCATAAAAAGACTTCCACATTGCCCACTTATCACAAGGGTTAGATGAGAGAATCTAAATGCTTAACATTGTCTCCAGCACTTTATTTTTTTTTTTTGGTGGGGGGTCTTTTTTAAGACAGGGTCTCGCTATGCAGTTCAGGCTGGCCTTAAGCTCACTTTATAGCCCAGGCAGGCCTTGAACTTGCAATGATCCTCCTGCCGCAGCCTCCCTAGTGCTGGGATTACAGGCATGCACCACCACACCTGGCTAAAAAAAGTCATTATTAACATTTAACATTTGATTTTAATTGCTCATATCCAAGCTCTATTTCCTACCAGTTCTCTGATCCCAGGTAAGTGGCCACAGCTCCCTGAGTCTCTATTTCCCAAAGCAAGGGTGGTTAGAAGACCCTGCAGCAGAGTGGTGTCAGTGGGCACCCCCAGGCAAGAGGAGACCAGGATCCCCAGCCCCAGGGACAGTCAGGAGCCCCAAGGTGCCTTTGAAGGCCCTGGCAGGGACGTGAGGAGCCGCCTACCTGCGCTCCAGCTCCCTGCGGGCCCGGGCACCGTCCTGCACCGTCTCCTCCTGCTCCTCCTCCAGGCGGTCCCGCTGCCGCCGCAGCTCCTCCTGAGCAGCCTGCAGCTTCTCCAGCTCTTGCCGCAGCTCCTCGGCCTGCTGCTGAGCTACCTGCAGGCTGTGGGCCAGGCTGCCCTTTTCCCTGCAGGACAAGGAGCAGGAGCAGAGGGCACCGCTAGGCTACTCTCAGCTGGGCTGCCACCCCAGGAGGATCACACTCTCGGTCCTCTGAGGCACCTGCCTCCTGGAAGCCTTCCCTGACCCAGCCCATGGCAGACGCATCCCACCCACACCTCCCAACAGAAGGAACCTGGCTTTCCTTCTCCCAGCCACCCACTTGGAGACCCACTACGATGGAAGGAGCTGCTGGCATTAGCTACAAGTACCCCACCGGGTGAAGAGGCCAGGAAAAGGCTCCCGGGGCACATTGGCAATTCTGCTGCCAGTTCTGCTAGGCCAGGTGCCCAGCAAATACCCCATGTTACCCCACCACCATGCTGCTGTCCTGAGCATCACCAGTGTGATGCTCCCAGGGCAAGGGAGGAAACAGGCAGCTGCATGAAGCCCGGCATGGGCTGCCATGTCCCCCGTGCAGGCAGTGGCAACAGGGCTGGGGCTGTGACTGTAACACTTCCTTCGGAGCAGCCAGGGTCTCTGGCTCAGGCCTAGGGCTGCCCCCTCTTCACTCCAAGTAGCAACTCCTAAATATACGAGATACCAGAGCTGCCAGTGGGTGGGAAACACTCTGACATGCTGTTAAGTAAAAATAACACAAGCTGTTGTCAAACTTGTAATGATCCTCCTGCCTCAGCCTCCTGAGTGCTGGGATTACAGGCATGTGTCACTACGGCCAGCCCTGTTTTGTAGTTTTTTGTCTTTTTGAGACAGGGTCTTGCTACGCAGTTCAGGCTGGTCTTGAGCTCAGTTTGTAACCCAGGATGGTCTCAAACTCCCAATGATACTCCTGCCTCAGCCTCCTGAGTGCTAGGATTACAGGGGTGTGCTACCAAGCCCGGTGCAACTACTTTAAAAGAGCCCATCTTAGGGACCAGGGATTTAGTTCAGTGGCGCAGCATGTGCCTGGCAAGAGTGGGGCTCTGAATTTGATTCGCAGAACCTTCCCGCAAAAGCCCATCTTGCCAGGCCTCCTGGTGCACGCCTACAGTCCTACCACTCAGGAGGGTGAGGTAGAAAGGATGCACATTCAAGTTCAGCCTGTGCATCTTACCAACTTAACAAGGCCTTGTCTCAAAATTTTTTAAACAACTTAACTGGGTGTGATGGCACATGCCTGTAATCCCAGTAGCTGGGAGGCTGAGGCAGAAGGTTTGCTGTACATTCAAGGCCAGCCTGTGCTATACAGTGAGGTCAAGGCCAGCCTGAACTACACAGCAACACTCTATCTCAAAAAAATAGACAACAACAACAAAAAAATTAAAAAGACCTTGGAAAAGATAAATAAAAGGGGATGTAGCTCAGACGATGCCCTTGGATCTAATACCCAGTACCAACAAAAAGTCCATCTTGTCAAATGCATGAGCATAATGCTATAGATGCAGCACTTAGGAGGCTGAGGCAGGAGGACTGCTGTGAGTTCAAGGCCAGCCTAAACTACATAGCAAGTCCCTATCTCAAAAAAACAAACAACAACAACAAAAATTAGGAAGGAGTTAGAAAAGATTTTTTTAAAAAAGGATTTGTAGATGTAGCTCAGTGTAAAGTCCTTGGGTTCAGCCCTAGAACCAAAAAAAAAAAAAGAAAAGAGCCTATCTTGCCAAATGCAGGAGCATAGTGCTATCATTGCAGCACTCAGGAGGCTAAGGCAGGGAGATCACTGTTAATTGGATGTCAGCCTGGGATACACAGTGAGACAGCTCAAGGCTGGCCTGAACCACAGTGTGACCCTAATTTAAGAAAAAAAAAAGTTTCAGGCCACCCTGAACTACATAGCAGGACTCTGTCTCAAAACTACAAAACAGGGCTGGCCGTAGGGACACATGCCTGTAATCCCAGCACTCAGGAGGCTGAGGCAGGAGGATCGTTACAAGTTTGACAACAGCCTGGGCTACAAAGTGAGCTCAAGGCCAGCCTGAACTGCATAGTGAGACCCTGTCTCAAAAAGACAAAAAAGAAAGAAAAAGAACCTACAAAACAATGAAACCTCGTTTCACTGGCATGGATACCAAGGATATGGATTTACTATCACATAGACCTTAATGCCAATTCCCACCCTGGCCCCTGCAGCCACGTCCACCGTGTGAGGCAGGGAAAGCCTCTCAACCATAGCACACCACCAGGTCTACACTGCAGGAGTCTGACAGAACGACAACAGAGAAAACACCGCGAAGTGCTGGGTGAACAGTCGGCCACACAGCGGGTGCCCATCTGCACACCCACTGTGCTACCCCCGT